AGATTCACAAAGTGCTGCGCCTGCCACGAAATCTGCACATCGGAGATCCAAAATGAGCAAATTGCACGAGGCTTTCGCAAATTTTCCAATGCGTTTCAGAAATGCTGCGCCTGCCACGACATCATGCCTGCAGGTCATACGAAATGCTGCACTGGCCACGCAGAAGCATCCTCAAGTTCAAATTCCAAAAATGCGACCCCTCTCACGAATTCAGCCGTTTCACCTCAAAATGTCGCATCCATGGTGCGGATTCCCTGCGCCTGCCACGTGAAACGCAATCCTGCGAATGACACACGCCTGCCAACGTTTTTGCAACGTCCACAAAACACTGTGCCTGCCACGAAATTTGCAAAGTCTCCGATTCCTTGCACCTGCCACGTAAAATGACCTTTTCGAGGCTCCAATGTGTCGAATTCCTTGCGCCTGCCACGCAAAATGCACTTCATGTCCGAAAACGAGCACGGCACCTGCACGAGAGCTTTGTCCCGGAAGCACGAAAGGCGCGGCCACCACTTTATGCGAGACTGCGCAGTCGAAATGGACATGAGGAATTCAAAAAGTAACTTTTGTGCGAGCCGGCCCACGCAAAATGCCGCATCCACACGCGCGAACCCTGATCTAAACCCGCTTAACTCTTACCGTAAGAACCCCTTAGTGCGGAGCACTATTTGGGGAATGATCATTGTTGACTGACTGCTACCAGGGTAAGAACGGACAGACCCCATGACCACATGACCACACCGAAAGGACGGAGCGACGACCGCGGTCAGCGCGCGACGGTCAGCACCTCAGTGCTATCGAGGCTGTTGGATCCATCGGAGCCCCCCAAGACCAGCAGGAGTCCTGTCGCGCGGAAAGTCGGTGGACGTCCGGATGACCCCGGTCCTCCCGGTGTCCGACTCGATCGACCGAAAGACTCGACCGAAACATGTAAACAGCCCAGACACGACCTAGCTGGGACTGAAACGGCCAGGGGCGGGGCCATGAGGGCTCAATGGGGCGGCAGTCCTATGGAGTGTGGGCCCATGACCATGGTGGATTGGGCATGGATTGGGGGGGCCATCACCACATAAAGAGTCGAGCATGTCTGACGTCGTGCAACGACACGAACCGACACGACGCGACACGAACGCAAGCATTCGCCATGCGAGGGCTGGGATGTGATCGTGTATCTTAAAATCATAAGGGCTGGTCGTTTCCGCTGCGTGTGAACTGATGCAAATGTCCATCTTTCCGAATACTAAGGTGGACGCCTCAAAAATATGGACACCTTTAAACATAACAACAAAGAACAACAACAACTTCTACGAACAAGAACATGTTCCTCCTGGCAATCACTCACTCAATGATTGTTGACATAAGTGTTATGAAGCTACCCAGTGTAATGAAGCTACCTTGTGGCCATGTTTTGGGCATATCGATGTGTTCCTCCTGGGCATCTGAAAGGGCCTTTCCTACCTCGGCAGGTCATATCTCTTCCCTTCACCACTGGTCCTTTAGACCCCGAAGGCTGCAGTAGGGCAGTGGCGCAAAAGTTGCGACGCGTGGACATGCGGGGGCCCGCGGAAAAGCTCATGGTCGTCCTGAAGGAAGGGCGGCTGCCGCTTGGAGCTGAAGAGGGTTAGCCCCTGCAACAAACACACACGCAGGAAATACATGCCCTAGTTTGGGAAAGCATTGACACTATATTTAAAAAGTGGGAAGAACACATGGTTGTTTTTCGCATGACATAGGTCCCTCCCAGGCTTTGGGGCATATAGGCACTAGCACTGGTTTATTGATGCACATGTAGTTTTCTTCTTCCTTAGTCATCTGAACCTCATATATATATATATATATACCAAACATTGCAAACAGTACGATATACGATACACTTCGGTAGTGATATCGGGTCTGTTCAACCAACAGATTCTTCTCTACAACTCTGTGGCTTTGGAACTTGGAGTTTCCATGTGTGTTTTCTATTGTCTGTGATGATGGTCAAAACCTATGGAACAAAAGCTAGATCTTGTGAGTATGCATTGGATCTCTACCTGCTGCAAATGGATTATGGAGACACTCCAGAGGCATCCTACACCAAACGCACCGTGGCAGATTTCAGCCCAGCATTGAAGTGAGATCCTATATGTATGGAACATCCGCAATTTAAGTTAATATCCTATCAAGATCCGCACTTTAAATAGAACATCCATGAATATCCTATATTTAGATCAAGCCTTTTTTGTGGAAATCGAGCTTGCCAGCTCGATTTCACGCCTAGATCCGCATCGGTCCTCCGTGCCCTCCTCCAACCCACTAGGCACACGTGCCAAGCATCAAATCCAAGAGCTCCGTGCTTTCTAAATCGCTACAGCCATCTGAACCGCCAATGACCAAGAGACGATGATGGTCAATCAACGACGCCTTAGGAAGGACCCCAATGTCAAGTTCTGCGACTTTTTGTTGAAGCTCCATAGGTGTCAAGATAGGTCCGGCAAAGATTGATAGAATGTTGTCATCGGCTTTGAAGCGGGACATGCCGAATCCAGGCCACTAGGCCTACATGTGACGCCAAGATCCAAACGTGTGACCCGACCAGACGTGTCATTGATCCACACATGAAACATGCTCCAAACGCCGTGCGTTGACCCGACCGGACGTGTGCTGCTCAAAGGGCCGCGCAAGCGTTTCGCCGCGTGCCCATGCGAGGTCCCGGGGAGAAGACCATCCTGGCAGGATACATATGGAGGAGGCGAAGAGGAGGAAGGGATGGAGAAATATGGGAATTATCCAACTCCCATGCAAGACCGATCATGTTTTTGGATTGGTTCATTTTCTATCTACTCCCGGAGGGTTCTACAACTTCTACATCTGCAAAAATATAGCGAGAACCCAATTGACCTCTGTTTTGATCAGAAAGGGCCGTATATGCCATATTATTGGATAGTTGCTGATACTCCCAAAAGGAGTCCTTCAGGTTCTAGGTACAGATTCTTCACACGCCAAAGACCACATGCAGCTTCTTGAGGTTGCTTTCCATGAAACACACCTCACCATCAATCCTGGAAGGGGGTCAAGTACATTCAGACCTGTCAAAATACCTGACACTGATCGACTCAGTACCTCAAAAAAAAAAGTTCCTGTTTCTTCGTGTGAACATGTCAAATACTCATCTATTTTCTGGCACCTGGCCCTTCCAATGTAGCTGGCCTCAAGCAAATACCCCATTTCAAATCAATATCAAATTCAAACCCAATTGTTTCCTTCTAGCACACCACTGCTCTCATGCACCAGTCGACCATTCCAAAGCTGTCCAGTTGTTCTTAAAAAAACCAGCCGTGCAAAGACCAGTCCACTACAATGGGCAAAAAAAACATACCTTTCATCAACATGATTTGCTCTATAATACCTGCAAATACCTGTTATATATATATATATCTTTGAGTGTTCTGATTGCAAGACCAAGGGGTCACGACCCCTTCCCAATCTCCAAGGCCGGACACCACTGGACCTCTCGGCTCCGGGCCTCTCCAAGTCGAGGACCTCGGTGGAGTCCAACTCGCTGGCATCGTCCGAGCCGCCGATGATCAGCAGCCTCTGGGCATCCAAGCGCACCGCCGCGCAGGCGTTGCCTAGCGATCGAAGAGCGAAGCTTTCCGGGCGGAATGGTCGGAAGCCTTTTTTTGTTCGGAGCTTCGGTTTCGAAAGAAAAGCGGCAGCGAAGAAGCGGAGCGTTTTCCGGAAGAGATGTGGTGCAAACACGTGCATATATGGATGTTACATGCATCTTCCCACCGAGGCTTATGGACCCGAACCGGTCCTGCTATCATGTGGGTGTAAGGTTCCATTTCACCCTGGTTGTGAGGGTCATTTCACCCTACAGTAGCGATCTGAGGGTCCTTTCTGAGCCTTTGAGCATGAGAAAAACCATCTCATTGGAGACTCTGGAAACCCTCCCTCCCTCGCCTCCCTCCCTCTCTGACTCTTCTCATTCCCTCCACGGTGCGTCGGGTACCCATCTTCGGGCCCAAGACCACCTTGAGCGTCACAGGGTCCACGAGTTCAGTGGAATCCAAACTCCTCCGGGAAGCTGGCGCATTGGGGTTGGGCTGAAGTCGGAGCGGCTGTATTACTGGTCTCCTCAGCCGGATGTGCTTCAACCTGGCCAGTGGACCAATCTGTTTGGAGTTCGGACGATGGATGAATATGGTAAGTGACTTGGTCACTGGGGGAAGCGAATGTGCAAAGCATCAAACAACACACCCACTATGATCCACTGTCTGGGCTCAACCAGAAAGCCCACTCTCCTGCAACCATCAAAGCCTCCAGCCACCAGCACGCGCCGCTCGTCCAGCGCCGCGACCGCACAACCGGAACGGCCCACGCCCATGGTGGGCCCGGAGGAGAAGGTCATGCTGGCAGTATCGAGGATCCTGAGTGTCCAAGTCACAGTGACCTAGCCTGAGCCTGTCTTCCTCTGTCTTTGGACTTGCGACCATCTGAGCACCCAGCAAAGATCGCATGTACATGAAGCATGTACCCCCCCCCCACCCCACAAACACACACAGTCACACACACACAACATCTTCTGCATATGAACTTCATGAAAGGTCACCAAGGTCAGCCTTTCCACATTCTCCACCCACAAAGTTAAGAGCACATCAAATCTTAATCTTTGAAAGCACAAAAGCCAAAACGTTAACCCTGGTGATTCCGCGTGTGGAGACCGCTGCGAAGAAAGAACTCTGCAGCTCTGCAGAATGATGGGCGTACACTGTGCACACAATTCCATTTCCACAATGCAAACTGTTCCGCCAAAAGCCAAACCAGTGAAGGAAAACTTCAAGAACACCCTTCAGCTTGAAGAACCAATCCGTAGAATGTGAAGTTCTTGAAAAAGGCAGCTCGAATCCAGAAGTCCCAATGTTGTTTGGGGCAACCAACGCCCTCAATTCGAAACCACCTTCCCAAACCACTGCATATAGGCATGTCTATACACACATATATATATATATATTATAGTTACATAGTTACCAACGTTCGATTGGTTTCAGGGCTCAATGTCTCAATGTAGTATATTGGTGTCTTGAAAAACTCTCTCTATATATTATATACAGCAAATATTATCTGGATGAACATAATTTGACAATTTATATATACCTATATCACAAAACATATCAAACACACTGTTAAATTTTTTAATTCAATGAAATGAATGTAGGTAAAATATTGCTAAATGAAATTAAGGCTGGGGATATATGTGCATACAAGAAAAAAGGTTGGAGACATGAAATATCGACTGCAGGAGAAAACGCAGAGACACATCAGCCACCACACTTGTTTTGGCACACACAGGCTGAAGCTGTTCAACTACCCTCCAGGTGAAAGGGCACAGGGCATCCGACACACCACACGTCGGAGTGCCTGAAGCGGATGGGGATGTGTACAAAGTGCAAACAATGGAAAATGAAAATCATTCATATCTCACATTTGACCGCTGTGCCCAAACAGATCTCACAGGAGACATAGTTTCAACACAGCCTTCCACTATGGTAACTTTGTCTTTCTACGAGATAACTAACTCTGTGCAATTTATTGATGCACAGTGTGGCACGAGAAAAGAGTTGGTTCTATCTTTAAGTCACAACTCCTCGGCCTCGGCTAAATAAAATGCCCAAAAGAACATTGAAAACAAACTATGGACAATGTATTCGTATTGTTTTGTGACCGAAGAGCCATAAACCAAACACAGACAGCTAAGATTGGCCACATGCATCCTGTTTGATGCAATGCCCACAAGCCAAACAAAGAGCTGCTGTGATCTCAGGATCTAGAACTCATCAATCTACTTAGCACCCTTCTTGGGCTTGGGTTCCTGGGTCCGCTTGCCTTTGGCTTTGGGCTCAGGAGGTTGAATGAATGGTTCACTATCACTCTCCTTGTCGTTCTTGCGTTTCCTGCCCCTGGCTGCAGGCTCTGCTGATGCTGTTGCTTTTGCTTTTGCTTTTCCCTTGGCTTGCGGCGCTGATGCTTTGGCTTTGGGAGCCGCTTTGGCTTTGGAAGCTGCTTTCGCTGCAGCTTTCTTGTCCAACACTGATGTCATGACTTCAATGACTTCAGTTGAAAATCTGTTCTTGAAGTCCGCCAATGTCTTTGCACGCTTGGCGGGAGATGTGCCCAGAGAAAGGTCCTCTGCTCCCTGACATCAGCTGCTTTGGCGCTGGGCATGAACATCTTGGCTATGGCAGCCTGCTGATCCAACTGGTTGACCACACGACTTCGAACCTTGACTTGTTTTGGACGCAACCCAAAACATGCAGCCGGTAGAGGTTGATGTGACCATATCTGCTCTTGAAGTCTTTCAACATCAAAACGCGACTTAATTGGACCCCAAGTAACCTCCGTTGAATCCAGAGTCTGTGCTGCTGGCTCAATGCCTTCTGCTGTGGTTTTGGTGTTTGCATTGTTCTCTTCAGCCGGAAGGGCTTGAATCTGCTCTGGTTGGGCTGGCTTAGTCTCTGCTGCTGGTGCTTCAGCCGGAGCGCTTTCAAGCTGCTTTGGTTGCACCTCCTGCTCAGGTAGCTCTGTTGCTGGAGGTTCAGCTGGAGTGGCGCTAG